GTGGGAATCGGCTGGTGGCGTTGTGTAAAGGGCATCAGAGAGGCCGCAGAGAGGGGTCGTGCCCAGAGTAGAGGCAAGGCTGGGGCTCGAATCCTGAGCTTTCCTTCTTTCTTTTTTTTTTTTTTTAATTATTAACTTTATTATTGTTATTTTAAAAATTTGACCAAGGAGACAGAGAAAAAGGGAATGTGAGAAAGCAAGCCACCAGGTCCAGGACTTGAACTACTGCCAGCCAGATGGCAGTCCGGCGTCTTAACCACCACACCACCTGCTGGTCCGCAAATCCTGAACCTTCTGTCCAGATACAAGCGCAGTGTCCACATATTACAAACAAGGTGAGGAGGCCGGAGCAGTACAGGTGGGGGACCCAGGGTGCAGAGAGAACATGGCAGGCAGGGAGGTTGTGAAGTCGGTATGGCAGCTTGGAAATGGAGGTTGAGAGAATTTCCCATGTGCCGGAATAAATCTATACCCTTTATGAGGCCTGCCTTGCGGGCCTGGCTTACTTCGCCCTTAGCCCCCGGTGACCCGTCTCAGGGCCTTTGCCCGGTGGTGGGTCCCTCTGCCTGGAACTGCAGGTCTTGTAGGTCCAGCTCCTTCTGGGTCTGGAAGGCCTTCCCTGACCCCTCCCCGCCCCACACCATGCAGCCGCTAGCTCAGGTCGCCGTTTTGTTTTTTTCCCAGCACGAATTCCAGCCCGCAATTGGGAAGGTACCTCGCTGTGTGAAAGGTTTCGGTGCACTTGCTTCTTGCCAGCCCCCTACCCCAACATATATGTGCCGTGCTCACCCCGTGTCCTCAGTCGCTGCCTGGGCCTGCCCACAGCAGGTGCTCAGTGGAGCTCAGTGCGACTCTGTGAAATGAGGCAAGACCAGACATCAGCCAGGTTGAGAGGGAGTGGCAGACGCCAAAGCAGGGCTGGCAGGAGGGAAGACGGCAGGCCACAGCGAGTGGGCCCCTGAAGAGGCAGAGGTGGGGTTCTGGATCGGAGACGCTCCACAGCCTGTGGTTTTGGGTGGGAGTCTGCACTTGGTTCATTCTCCTAGGGGTTGCGGGAAGGGAGCGGAGGGCTGGGGGTCACCTGGGGAGGGACCTCTTGGTTGCCCTGAGGTCCCTTCTGGGCTGTGAGTGGATGTCAAGGGAAGCAGGTTCCCCAGTTCTCAGGGATCCCCCAAGAATCCCAGGCACAAGGCACCTCCCACCTGTCCACCCAGCCCCAATCAGGAACCTCCAGCTCCGCAGCTCCTCCTAGGGCATGCTGGGTAGGGGGCAGGGGGCCACAGCAAGGTGAGGCCTGCCCCAGGCTTGGCTCCCTGGGGCCCTGCTGGCCCAGAGCAGGGCGGGACAGATCTGATGCCAGCGGGGAAGCATCAGCTGTTGGAGGCCCCGGGGACAGGTCAGGTGGGACCGAGGGACACTCTCGGGTGAGTGCAATGTCATCAAAGAGGTCAAGGGTGGAGGCGTCCAGGGCAGCAAGGCTGAGGCTCAGGCCGGGGCTGGCATGGGGTGCCTCCGTGGGGGCCACAGCACAGGCCACACCCAGAAAGGGGGATGGAGGTGGCGGGGGTGGCCTGGGGGGCAGCAGTCTCCGGGACGGTGCCTCCTGGGACAGGATGGACAGGGCCAGGCGCTGAGTGGCAGCTTCGATCTTGGTGAACTGCCTGCAGAGAGATGGGTGTTAGCTGGGGACTGCAGGGCTCTCCTGTCTGCCACCTCAGGGGAGTGTCCCTTCCCTCCCCTCGCCCTGCCCAGCCCCTTCCCCATGCTAGTCGAGCCCTGGCTCCTTTCCCTGAGCCCAACTATTCGGTCTTCTCGACTCCATTCCTGGGGAGCTCTGGACTCCTGAGGCCTGTGCACTGCAGGCCCTGCCCAGGGCTGTATTCCAGCACGAGAAATGGGGCCGACAGGTGGCGTGGTGCCTAAGGTGCTGGACTCCCACATGGCCAATCACAGTTCCAGTCCCAGACCTGTGGCTGGCTTTCTCACTTTCTCTGTCTCTCTGGTAAGCACATGCCCTGTAGCAAAACTAAAACTAAAACAAACAAATAAAAACAAAATAAAAACCAAACGGCCCCACAGTGCAGCCGTCGAGGGGAGCAGGTCCCACATGGCTGACTGTGTTTTGTGGCTTGAAAACCATTCCGAGCGCATGTGGGTGGCCCAAATCCTGATGGGACGAAGACATGGGGGTGTGGGGTGGCCATGCCCACGGGGTGCTCTCTGTCTGTGAGTGCATGCACCCCAATTTAAATGAACAGGCATAAACACTAAACATGTCTTCAGCAAGCGGCGCTCTAAACAGACGTTCTCCAGAAGGGGGCGCTGGCTATGAGGGCCTGCATCTGGGCCGCCTGGCAGTGTCTCAGAGCCCTGGTGGGTCCCCCGACCTGTCGACCTGTGGCTAGCATTCCGTGACATCACCAGCAGATCTCACAGCTGTTAGGGCTGGACACTCCCCACCCAGGTTCCTGTGCTGAAGGTGCAAGCCCAGCACCGCAGAAGGTGGCCACTGGAGACAGGCCCTCAAAGGGGCAATGACAGCAGGATGGGGAGAGCCACCCCTCAATGCGGTGGCTGTCCTTGTGGGAAGAGGCGATTGGCACAGAGGGACGACCTTGGAGAAGCGCATCTGCCAACCAAGGAGAGGCCTGGCGTGGGCCGGCCGCTGCCAGCGGAGCCCAGGAGCCGCGGACATGTGACACGCGAGTGCCTGCTGTCGTCTGGGCTGCTCCAGAAACCTCACGCTGAGCCTGGCAGGAGGGCTGCCTGACTCCGCACTGGCGGTCTGCAGGGGGAGGTCGACCAGGCCACTGGAGGAGGGAGTGCACCGTCGCTCGCTCAGAGCTGCCTGGCTCCCAGCTGCGGGAGCTGCGGTCACACTAGCGGGCTCCCTTTGCAAACCTCTGTCCTGACGCGGACACCTGTCCTGGAGAGTTTATTCAGGGCACTGTCTCACCATGGTTCTGTTCCTGTGGGTTATCCAGAACAGGCAGGTTCCCGGGGCGGGGTGACTGCTTAGTGGGTTCAGGGTCTCCTGCCGGAGTGACAAAATGTTTTAACAGAAAAACTAACCCTATAGCAAAAACCTCTCCAAAAAATAAATAAATAAATAAAAACTAAAAAAGAGGATCTTGAATGTCCCCAGAGTGCAGAACGACAGTCGAGGTGACAGGTACACTCAGGATTCTGATCTAATCATCACAGAGTGGTCTCTAAAATTTTTTTATTTAATTAAAAAATATTTTGCGGGACCAGCAGATGGCATAATGGCTATGTCGCTGGACTCCCCATGTAGTCGACTGTGGTTCGAGTCCCAGACCCGGTGGCTTAAACTCATGCCGGGCACATGTGTGTGTGTGCCCAAGATCCCAAGAGGAGAATGAAAGAGAAGGGGTTGCGGCATGGCCACCCCCCCACCGGGGGTGATTTCTTGCTTTCTGTCTCTCTCTGTCTTTCTGGCAAGCGCATGTGCTCTATAGCAAAAATCTCTTCAAAAAAAATTTTCTTTTGCTATAGTGGTGTGTGCATTCACCAGAGAGAGAGACAGAGAGAAAACGAGAAAGCATCCCCCAGGGATGGCTACACCGTAATCCCTTCTCCACGCTCCTCTTGGGACTTTGGGCACACACACACACATGTGCCCAGTGTGTTTTCAAGCCACCAGGTCCAGGACTCGAACATGCAGCCCACCCCGTGGGATCCGGCAGCCTCAACCAGCATGCCACCTGCTGGCACTGTGGTGCATCTTGTACTGCGAAATCACACTGCACCCACGACTGCGTGCAGTCACCACTGCAATCACCACGTTACTGCAGTTGGCGTCCGGAACTAGATGGGGCCGAGGGCTGCAAAAACCTGTGACTGTCCCCAGTGCCACTGAGCCAGGCACCGGTGAGTCGGACGCTGCGCTTGTGTTACCATAGTTACAGGTATCACGTAGCCCCGCGGCACCTGTCCGGAGCCACCTTTGATGCCAAGGAAGCTATTTATGCTCCAAGTGTCCCAAAGAAAGCCTCCAGAAGTGGGAGCCCTCGGGGGACCAGCAGTTAGCGTAATGGCTATATCGCTGGACTCCCCCGTAGTCGACTGCGGTTCGAGTCCCGGATCCGGTGGCTTAAACTCATGCCAGGCACCTGTGCGTGCGTGCCCAAGATCCTGAGAGGAGAATGGAAGAGAAGGAATTGCAGCGTGGCCATCCCCCTTGGGGGGGGGGTGATTTCTCACTCTCTGTCTCTCTATTTCTGTCTGTCTGGCGAGCGCATGCGCCCTATAGCAAAAACCTCTCCCCCCAAAAAAACTAAAAACAGAAGTGGGAGGCCTGGTTAAATGACAGAGACAGACCGACCACCAGGCCGGTGGGCTGAAGAGCTGCCAGGATTTACTTCAGACTAAACACAGCGGGTGGAGGGCCGCCTGGGAGCCTGGGACGGTGCGACCACCCGCGTCTGCTTCTCTGTAGGTCTGAAGTGTTCCACAGAGAAAGGTCAAAGATCCTCCTGCCGAGCTGGGGGTCCCTGTGGCCCAGGAGGAGGCGGAAGTGGGTGAGTGGAGACGCGGGAGGCAGTTTGCCTGACTTGGGTTTTCTCAGGCTCACAGCCCCAGGGACCGCTCCCACTCTCTGGGGCCACCGTGGACTGAGCAAGCCTGGGTGGGCGTGCCTGGAATGCTGCCGGCAGAGACCTGGGCCTGCAGAGGAGGAGGAGGGCCCCAGGCAGGACTGCAGCCTGAAGAGCATGGCTTCTGAACTCTGCCTGGGGTGACATCTGCTCATTGCTGTGCAGCCTCGAACAAGCCACTGACCCTCTCTGAGCCTCCTTGTATGTTGTAAAGGGACACAGAACCTACTGTGCAGGTTTATGGGGGCTGCTGAGTGTCATCTGTAGGCC